ACTGAGTGGATTCCACCTCACAGTGATCACAGTGATCCTATTGGACATGGTAGGATGACCCTCGGGGGTTTCTGAAACTGTAAATCTCGACCAGTGCAGAAAGCCTCATCTTTCTCCCACGGAGCTTCCTTTGCTTTGGGATAATGGATACAACCGGTACAATCTACTCCACTGAATTTTGGGGTAGTAGACTAGTTTATACAGGATTTATCCATTGGGTTGAGGACCCCTGGTGGCATATGGTTATGTGTTAGGTTGCTTAGTGCAAGATCAGCGTTCCAAACCACCAGGCACTCCATGGGAGAAAGACAAGGCTTTCTACTCCCGCAAAGAGTTAAAGTCTCAGAAACCCACGGGGGCACTTGTACCTTGCCCAGTAGGGTCCCTGTGAGTCAGAATTGACTCGATGTCAGTGAGTTCGGTTTTGAAATCCCTAGCAGTTAGCACCATATTAACTCTTGTCAGAAGAGGAAAATTGAAAGCAGCCTTGTTGGTGTAGGGGGTTTTGCATGGGCTGATAACCTCAGGGCTAGCAGTTTGCAGCCCACCAGCCACTCTGAGGGAGAAAAATTAGGCTCTAACTTCCCGTGAAGATTCACAGCCTCGGACACCCAAGGGAGCACTTCTCCTCTGTCCTTTAGGCTCACTGTGAATCAGAATGGACGTGAGGGCAGTTGCTTTGGTTGGTCACGTTTTTCAAGGAGGTCTTGCTGATCGCAACTGCTGAATTTGGTGCTTTTCCCCTGGTCCTACTGCACCAGAGGTCAGCACGGTGGGCCTGTGAAGGCATCTCTCATGCTCTGCCCCAGCCACACCCAAACAGCACAGCGCCTCTGGTCTCGGTTTAGATCAAGCCGAGCTTCGTGTAGACTCTTAGTTCTGTTGACTGGTTTCTTCTTTGAATCTTTAGTTTCCTCTTTTTTCTTTTGCTCTAGGTAAATAGAGAGCAATATGGACTAAACGTTTTTAATAGGATGAGATGTTAAAACCCCAGGGATAGTAGGAAAGTTGTACAGCCTGCCTGAGCTATAATTCAGGAACAATAAGGGGTATTTTATACCGTGTGCTAGAGGTATAGTGACTGCCATGGAAATCAGGAGTTTTTATCAGAATCAAAGGGAGCACTATTAAAATTATCCTTAGGTAAACCCGGAACGGGGACATATGGTTCCTGTACTTAAAAAATGTAGTGGAAAAAATAATAGCCTTTTTTTTTAATGTGTGTCATTGATTCCAATTGTTCAATTACAATGAGGTTCCTATCAGTAGAACATTTGTTTTGGGCGTTGTCTTAGTTACCTCGTGCGGCCATATCAGAAACTCACAAGCCGATGGCTTCGCAGAGCAGAGCTTTGTTTTTGCATAGTTCTGGAGGTTAAAAGTTGAAATCCGGATCTTGGACGTGTCAGTTGTTTCTGTACCTTTGCTCCTAGTTCTGGTTTGTACTGGTAATCCTTAGTCTTTTCTCACATACTGTTTGTCTTCCTCCTTTTGTCTGTCCATTCTGTGTTTAGTAGCTATATATGTGTGATTAAGATTAAGGCTCACCCTACTCAGAGATGATGTATTATCAAAACAAAAGGAAATCCCCACTGCCCAGCAGGGCCATAACTACACGCACAGGGATTAGGATAGTAACATTTTTGTTTTTGTTTGCTGGGGGAGCTGGGTCAACACAATTCAATCCATAACAATCAGCCACAATATTTTTATCGATCTACATGTAAGAAGGGTAAATAACCCTTTGTTCTGAGTGTTTATTTAACACCTTCAGTACGCTTATCTACCTACCTATGAAATGTTAGCACTAGATAGTTGTGTGTGTGTGTGTGTGTATGCATGTACCAATCCAAGGTTCATTTTGCATTCCTGCAAAGCTAAGGCAAGCCTGTGGACCTCTGTATAACTTAGTTATTAAAGTATCTGTCCAGTGGGGCTACTAACTGCAAGGTCAGTAGTTTGAAACCACCAGATGCTCCACCTGAGAAACACCGGGCTTTCGACAACTACAAAGAATTAGAGTCTCAGAAACTCACAGGGGGAAATTCCTTTAGGGTCTCTGTGAGTCAAAATTGACTCTATGGCAGTGAGTTTTTATATTAGGACCATTATTATCTTAGAACGCTTACAGCTGGATATACCAGTCGAAGAGATTTCTGAGCCTCGGATCTCGGAGAGGAGCTGGCAAGAACGCGGCGATGCTGGCCCCGCACCAGAGCACAGTGGCACAATGACAGTGTGGGTTCGTCCTGCTGAGACCCTACAATAATCCTTCCCCAAAGAAACTTCCTCCAGGAATAATTTATACCCTCACACTCATCTTTAAGTTTATCACTGAAATTTTCAACAAGGATGTTGTTTGGTGCCCAAACCACAGTGGCTTCTGTGATGTGGGCGCCTCAGTGCAGAAGGAGCAGAAGAGCAACTGCATGCAGACTCCAGACAGTGACCCAATGACACCGAGTGTGAGCAGCTCCGGACGTAGATCCTTCTCAGACCAGGGCAGGTGACTCGTTATTAGTGAGTCAGCCCAGAAGTTGCTTTTCTTTATCGCTCCGATGATAGATCGTTTCTATCAGAGAAGACAACTTGCGAAGGTCTTCCATCCATAGAGGACAGGAGCCCCATTTGAACTGTAGGGTGAACTCTTATGATAAAAGCAAACGTATGAGAAGGAAGTTAAGCTTGCTTAATGGGAACAACTCTTCAACAACTGCTACTTAAGAGAACTTACCTGAGACTTCGAGGTCAGAAAGCACACACCAGTGGTGCTTGCCTCAGCGGGCAAACAACTCAGACAAAAGTTCAGTTTAAGTTCCATTCTTGCTATTTATTTATAGATTGAGGTCGCTATGAGACACAATGAACTCAACAGCGCCTGCCAAAACCAAGATGTGTCTTACTTCCTAACTCTTCACCTGGACTACCAGCGAGCCTTGGTGGCTTAGTGAGTTATATACTGAGCTGCTAACCACCAGGTAAGTGGTTTAAACCTACTACTTGCTCCTGGGGTGAAAGATTAGGTTTACTGCTCCTATAAAGATTTACAACCTTGAAAGCCTAAATGACAGCTCTAGTCTGTCCTATAAGGCCATCATGCCTTGGAATTGGCTTGATGGCGCTGGGATCTATGGGTGGGTGGAAGCCCCGGTGTTGCAGTGGGTACGCAGTGAACTGCTGGCCATAAGTTAGCAGTTGGAAGCCACGAGCCACTCTGTGGGAGAAAGTGTGGGCTTTCCACTCCTTGAAGGAGTTCCGTCTCGGAAACTCACAAAGGTGGTTTACCCTGTCCTATAGGCTCGCCACGAGTCAACATCCATGCCAAGGAAGTGAGTTTGGTTTGGGGACTTGGACGACTGACTCGAGCCTTACTACTTTGCATATTGTTGCTAGTCCATTCTCTGTCTCTTCATTGGCCTCGCATTTCGGAGCCAGTTGATTCCTACCTCCAATGCCCCCTACATAAGGGCGTGTGATCCCAGCTCTTCACCAAGGTCTCTGCGAGGAGGAAGGGAAGATGGATTAACTCTGCTTCGCTCAACACGTGAGGACTGACTACATTGACGCCCGAAGTGGTTCCTTACCCTCCTTCCCTGCCCACAGGAGCCGCTTCTCATGATGATAGTGCAGCCACGCACCATGTCCTGTAGGTTCCTCGTCCCCTGGGATTTGGCCCTTCCGACTTGCTTCCTGCGGTCCAGGATCAGGGAGTGACGTGGACTAAGAACTGTGTTTCTTGCAGAGTTACACTCTGGCGGCCCCCAATCAAACTCAGTGCAGTCCCGTCCTTCTGACAATACGTAATGCAGCTCTGTAGGCCAGCGGTTCTCAACCTGTGGGGTCGCGGCCCCTTTGGGGGGGGTCAAACAACCCTTTCACGGGGTTGCCCGTTTCATAACAGTAGCAAAATGACAGTCGGGAAGGAGCAACAAAAATACTTTTATGGTTGGGGGTCACTACAACACGCGGAACTGTATGGAAGGGTCGCGGAGTGAGGAAGGTTGAGAACCGCTGGAGTAGGTGCTTGGCTATGATCGTTACAAGGGAAGACCACCAGACGTTTGTTCTGTTTTGTTTTGTTTTCTAGGTGCTTTGAGTAAATGCAGAGGAGACCTGAGGGGTTCGACTGAAGATCCCTCGCACAGATAGCGCGAGGGAAACACAGCAATGATCACACACACACATTCGATTGGGGGCATCACAAATGGCCTGACTTAGGGCTGGGAAAAGCTTTACAGTGGGGCTATACAATTTATTATCATACAACCAGAATGCTTGTATACTTTTCAGAGCAGGTCATAAACATTTTCAAAGGTAGTAGAAGGTATTTTATAATGCTAACGCTGGTAATAAGCATTAATACCAGAGGCTTGCACTTCAGAAACTGCTGGCTTGTGTGAAACATTCTTGGCTGTCCAAGAAACTCAGGTCCAGGGTCAGTAGCTGAAGGTGGTTTCTTGAGACGTTGTTCCTATATCATTCGTGTGAAAGGAAGGAGCCGTGGTGGTGCCGTGGGTGAGGCGCTGGACTGCAAACCACGTGTCTGGGCAGCTCAAAAGCACCAGAGAGCAAGATCAGGCTGTCTGCTCCCATCAGGATCTATATTCACAGCAATCCATGGATGGGGGCACTATGAATGTGAGTCCACTTGCTGGCAGTGAGCTATTTGGGTGTCGTGAAAATAATACCACTTAAGGCTATTTTATTCCTTTGTATGTATCTCTATGAAAATCTTCTTTCTTGGGGTATATTTGTCTAGCTTGAGGACAGAGAACACATTCCCTCCGTTACCTATGGTGTCTTACAATGGACCCAGCCAGCTAGCCAGAGCTTGTCTGGAAGAAAAATGGTCTAGGCAGTAAGTCGGAGGAAAAGGATAGTCTAAATCAGCAAAAATCTGAGTTAACGTTAGGCATACAGTTTGGTCAAGAAAGGGTTTATGGATTTCTTTACAATACACATGGCCGTTCAGAGCCACAAACCCAAAGTGGCTGTAGCTGCTAATTCTGTTCAGACCACAGGGAATATATGGGGATTTGGGGGTATGGCACAATGACTGTGAGCAAGACTCCTGAGAATTTGCCCTTTCTCTGTCCACAAGCAAACACCAGAGGTTCTGAATACCAGCCTTCATCACATGCCAGTGGGTGACAAACTTTCCTGGGTCTAGAAGAAGATGCATTCAATTTGACATCAGCCCAATAGATGCTGTGGTTACACCCACCAACTTCCCCAGTTCTTCTCAGCAGGTCTCTAAGGGCCCCTTGCCACCATTCTCTAAGCTGCGAGCTCCTCCTAGTGGTTTCTACTTTACAGAGTCCTTGCTAATGAAAACATCCTTGGGATAATTCTGGGATGCTTTCATATGAATCCGGGAATTTTTCACAGGCATGTGGTAGCGTATTTGTGTCCAGAACCTAGAATTGGGAGGAACTGATTTTAAGCCTCTCCAGGTGATGGTGGGCAAAACACTGAGAGCTTTTTTAACAAGATGAGGTAGAGACTCTGGCTCTTTGAAGGAACAGAAGTTAATTAAAATTAGTTTCAGTGTTTGATCATCCAAGGCAAGATTTACTGCTGCTTGTAGTTCAAAGACAGTGGGTCCGTTGACATAGTTGGGGCTCAGGATAAATATTCCCCTTCTACTTTTCTTGATAATAGTCACAATGTCCTCTGCATACACTAGAAATAGAGAATTTAGTTATTTGTTAATTGTCATTATTTAACTTCAAGTTACATTAAGCCCAGTTCTTGCAAGTAAGCTCTTAAGGAGAAAAGAAAACTTGACTTATGCAAGAGTTGATGCTCATTCTAGTACATGAGCACTCTCCAACTCCTCTCAGTGTGCTCTGCCGCCCCAACTGTCAATCCCTCTGGAGCACAGCTGTTGATATAAGGAAAGGGGGATAAGACAGAGATGGGGAATGCACCAAGGTAGGTCCTTGGTTGTGCGTGATCTCTGGGGCAGAGGAAGCGGCAGTGGAGCAGGCTGGGGTCCGGACAACTTACGGGTGAGCTGCGTTGGGACCCAGGCCTGGAAGTCGACTTGCTCCAGGGCTAAGGCTTCCCCTGAGCCAAGGGTCAAGCGCACAGTCTCCAGAGAACAGGAGACCACTTGGGTAGCATAAAAATGACACTTCCTACTAAAGAGCTAGAGGGGGATCTTTGCTATGGAAGGGAGCCCTAAGATCCAGTATAATATCTTTTTCTGAATATGTGTGTGTGTGTGTGTGTGTGTGGTGATGAGGACGACAATGATGATGATGATGGTGGACCATGTCTCTGGAACACAAATTCTCTTTTTTCTATGTTATTGCCCAATATGGTCTACCTTCACAAACCTTCCCAATCTTGACTATCCCTAAAGCAAGATGACAGAAGGAAACCTAACAGCAGGCTGCATGTAACTGCCTTTCTGGTTTGCTCTAAATCGGGTCTAGGCGTGCAGGACCTACCTCCTCCTGGGACCACATCTCTCTCAAGCAAACACAAGGTGTATCCATGTTTGTTTTCCAGAACTTCAGGGAGCAGATGAACCGCCAAGTGTTCCTCACTCAGGGATGGAGGACCCTCGCTCTCCAAGACGCGCCCTTTCGAATAGGACACAAACGCATCAAATTCCTTTTGATCTAAAATGGGAAACAATAGAGAATTAGGCTATTTACATGGTTCTAATAGCCTAGTAAAATCACACTTAAGTTTTTCACTGATTTTTTTTTTACGAAGCAGCTGTATCAATTTTTAAAGTCACAGAACTGAGTGGTGTCGATCGCCTACCCAGAGTCTACTTCTAACTTATGAAGCATGACTTCATTTTCACGGAGGTTAGATCAAACATCTGGGGCCTGCAATGATTAAATCACATGTATTTGGGACTTGCGCTGAGCTTCCTTTGCAGCTGCGGTGTTTCTGTCTCATTAGTTATGCATCAAAGAGAAGTCAGCACCGTAAAAGTATGATCAGACCCAGGGAGTCAGGAAGAAAAATAGGCCTCATGGAATTACAATGACGTTTCTACATCTATAGGTGTGTCTACTTGCCCATGAGTCCATTCTGACTCATGGGACCCCAGGTGTGACTGAGGAGCAGTGCTCGGTTTCTGAGCGATAAGCTTGATAGAAGGCTGGAACTTTCTTCTGTGGAACCACTAAGATGCTCAAACCATCATCTTTTAGGTTAGCAGCTGATGGAAAACTGCTTGGGTCATGCAGGAACCCTACACACACGCATGTATATTCCCAAGGTGGCATCAACGTTCGGAAGCCTGAAGTCTGGGTTTAGGACCATCAGCAGCTCCACAGAGGAAAGTCTTCATTACTCATTTCCATAAAGGTGACAGCCGAGAACGCATAATGAAGCAGTTCTACTCGGTAACACACCGGGTCACCAGGCATTGAAATTGATTCTGCAACACAAAGCCCCAGACCCCACTTGCAATGGAGTAGAAAGCTTGTTGTCTTTGCTATGAGCTGGGTAGAATATCCTGTCAACAGACTGTCAACTCCTTGTGCAGTGAACACACAGCCTTGCATTTGTTTGCCAACGACCCATCGGCAGCCCTCTACCCCCAAGGGTATTTTCTTGAGGCCGCTCTGTGCCTTCTAAAACATTTTTAAAAGTTGCCTCTGTCGGTATTTGTGGAAGAAAGATGCGATTGTCTGCCCGTGCAATGATTACAGCCTAGAAGTTCTCAGATGCCCTATGGGGCCATCTGCTCTGTCATCAAGGGTAAATATAGCATTGGGCATCTATGTCTACATTTGAACATGTATGTAAATCCCTTAACGAACCAAGGATCATAATAATGTCACTGAAGGCTTTTCTAAGGATTTCATGGAATGATGTACAGGAGTGCTGGTATAAGGGACTTGACGCATGTATTTCCTCTTCTAGATAGGGAATTTTATTTGTGGTATTTGCTTTCTGATCATTTAAAGATCTCATTGTCACACATGCACATTGATTCTAGGATGTGCCAAAGGACTAACTGGATGAGATAGAAAATCTCACAGGCTTTGGAATCAGACAACCTGCTTCATGGGTCAGCACTTCGTTCAATGCCTTTGAAAGAAAGATTGTAGCGAAATAGTAAGCCACAGTGCTCATCCTTGATGCGCATTGGCACCACCCTTGTTCGGTGGGGACCTGAAAAAGAGCCTCGGACGACGGAAGGGCCAGCAACAGAGAAGAAAGAGGAAGAGTCAGAAGAGGAGGTGACCAATGAGCTGAGGTGCAAAAGATCCGTCTGTGTACCATTTCATTGCCCGTGTGGGAAAGAAGAGATACACAGAGTGTAATGTGCAGGTAAGTGTTGTGCATTTTAAGTGTTTATCAGTCTGCGTTGATTCGATTCCTTACAGCTCCTTGCGATACTCCAGCAAAGAGTGTCCTATAAGCTGAAAACACTACATGTCCTTGGCTCCACAACTGGACAGTCGTAGTATTAGATTACTCACAGAGCATGAGTAATAGAAGGCAACCGCACGCACTGCCATCGGGACCAGAGGACAGGGTGCAACCGCGAGTTTTCTGAGACTGTCACTATTTAAGGACGAGCAAGCCCCGTGGTT